GTCTAACTCTGTTTTAACATATGTATTTCTTGCCCTTTTTTTTCTCAAAATATACCTGTCATACTCAGTTAATGCATCACCAGCAACATTAGTACCATCCCTTGTTGGAGACTCGCCACATATGTCTTTATTCATTTTTGTTTGATACTCAGAAATCAAGTCATAACATAATTGACGAATCATCCTAACTTGCAAAAAGTATTCATGACCATACAACTTTTCATAATAATATTCAAGTAACTCCATCTTGTATCTAGGATCCAAAACAGTAGCGACTCCCATAATAGCATGAATCACATTCCAATACTTATCAAATTTGAACAACATGTTCTCAGACATTTTTTTAATCACTTCATTTGGAGATGCAATCCACTCAGTCAATGTCAATTTAATCTCACATATATTGGGAAAATACAAATTAGCAGTTGGATGTTTAGTAGCAGAAAATAATTCTGTTATAAAATTGAACAATTTCAACCTTTCACAAACATCTTTTGCAAACTGCCATTGTAAACTAGTTGGCAAACAAGTATACTAAGAATCTCGTTGCTTCAATCGATTAAACACATCTTCATATATTATGGCAATTTCAAGCATTTTGTATGTTGAATTCCATCTTGTTGGACAATCTAAAATCAAGCTCCTAGTACAAGAGATGCGCAATTGCTTTGCTGTTTCTTCAAACTTTTCTTTCCTCTTAGGTGTTGCAGACCAATATGCTACACTACCCCGAATTTTTTCAATCTCATCTTTCACTACCTCTAGCCCATCTTTGACTATCAAATTTAATATATGAGCACAACAACGCATGTGAAGTAAATCTCCATCTCTCAATAAAGTGTTAATTTGCAATTTACCCTTAATTTTTTCAACCATAGCATCATTTGTAGTACAATTATCAAGAGTGATAGTGGATAATTTTGTATCAATATTCCAATCCATCAAACATTCAACTAATGCATTGCAAAGTCTATCACTTGTGTGAGGAGCTGGAACATAAATGAACCTAAAATAATAATATTCACATAAATTTAATCAATATTCAATCATTTTACCATACGAAAATAAAATAAAAATAATATAAAATATGACTAAGAAAGTGATTTGTTACCTTAAAATGTGACTCTGTAAGTTCCAAGAATCATCAATATAATGAGCAAGTGATGACCATATATCCTCTTTGTTGATTACCCGAAGTCCACATGTCTGATGTTATAGCCACTCTTCCTTCAAGGCTATCCAATGACTTCAAAATTATTGATTTCTCAGACTTGTAAACTTTGAATATTTCCTTTTTAATAGTATTTCTAGAAGGAACTTGAAAAACTGGTTGGAGAGCATATGAGTATCTCTTGAAACCAATATGATCTACAATTGAAAGTGGATATTCATGCATAATAATTGCATGTGCAAGTTCTTTTCTTACATGTTCTGCATCATAAATTCCTGTACCCAACTCTTGTTTACCTTGCATAACTTTAGGGGTAAGAAATATTTGCCCTTTGTTCCCTCTGGTAGAAATCTTGAATTGAATACAATTATCATTGTGTTGCCATAGGTGTTTCGTTCCATTTTTTTATTTTCCTCCCAAAAGTTTCTTACAATAATTGCACTGAGCCTTGTCCTCTCCATTAACTTGAATCTTTCGAAAATGTTGCCAAATCTTACTTTTAAGCCGATTTGATCCCAATGATATAGTCTCATCATGCTCATTATCTCTAGTTACTGGTGGGACTTCATTTGGTGTAGGAGTAGGACCCTCAAGGTTAGAATTTTCTTTTAACAATGATTCATGCATACTTGCTTGTGTTGTTTCATTATTTTCCATTGTATATAAAAAAAATCCCTACCACCATAAACAAGACATGTATTATTGATTGCCTAAAGATAAAAAATCTTCTGTTTATTTCTTCTAAAATAAGACTTAAATTGATCATAAAAGATAAAAAAATATAATTAGTTAATTAACATAAGATATGATATATGATAAATAAGAATAGTAAACCCAGAAAACATGATATAACAAAAACCTAATAAAACCAAATTATAAATAAAATGATACATTGATGTACATATTTAGAAAAAGATAAATAAACAAAAAATTACCTTATGCGTTCGATAAACTGATTGATAATACTAGAGAAGTTGATCAGAGAACTCAAACTAGTTAAAGAGATAGGAGAAGCCAAATGTGAGTTGAACTAAGATTAGTTGTGAAGAGATTCAAAAAGGCAAAGAAATTCAGAATAAATGGAAGTAAAGTGAAGGAAAGGAACACACTACGTAATGAGAAGATAAAGGGTATTATAAGAAAACAAAAAGGGTAATGTGAAAAGACTAAGAGTAATAAATAATGTGAAAAGATTAAGGGTAATGTGAAAAGACTAAGGGTAATGTGAAAAGACAGAGGGTTATATATCAGGATTTAAATTTAAATATAATTAACATTAAAAAAAAGAAAAGAAGACAAACAGACAAATAGTTAATATTTTAGAATTTAGGTTTAAATATAAAGTCGGGGCGGGGACGGGGGCGGGGTGGGGATTGCATTACCCATCCCCGCCCCCGAACCCGATTTCTTAAAGCGGGGAAAACCCGAACCCGAATCCGGTCAACTCGGTTTTTCCCCGTTAACTTCGGGGCGGGGACGGGTTTGATTGCCATCCCTAGTCTAGACCTATCACATGCATAGAATGTTTGGAGAGCTAGGAGGCCCAACTAAAAGATTTAGTTTTTATTATTATTAATATTTTATTTGCTACAGTGGGGATTTGAACCCAAGACCCAAAGCTTATAATGCCTTCATCGAACCATTTGGGCAACTTAACTTTGCTTGGGATATTAGGATTTTAATTTATCTTTATTTCCTGCAATGAGACAAACTCATAAACTTAAGTTGTATTAAACATTTGAGAATTCAGAAGGAATGTACGTAATATTCAGATTACTTTGTGAGTTGTTGCTCTGCTAGGGTTCTTCCTTGCATCACTTGATCTTATCAAGAATTATTCGATTCTTGTAGCGATCCTTCTTGGCTTATCAAATATTCTTATTTGTGGCGCCTACGGTATCTTTTATGTTTTTCTGTTTTCTATTTCTAATCAAATCAATTCTTAAAACCTAACCCTAAATTGTTTCCCTTCCATTCGAGTGTCGTCAATAAAGCATGTTATAAAAGCAAGGAAGGGTAAAAGCATAATTTCAAGTTTTTATTTATTAAACTAGTTCATCACTAAATAGGATCAACTCTCTAACTTCCCCAGTGGAGTCGCCATTTGTCGTCGCCGTCAAACGAGGCGATTGGAGCGACGCGATGGTTTGTATGACTCGCATTTTTTAAAGAAGATGTTCAATGCTTTCAGGTCGTCTAATAACCGGGTTGAACCTAAAGATGAGATTTTTCGAAAAGGATTCTATGGAATTGTCACCGATGTTTTTACCGTAAACATCGAAAAAGGAAGAAAAGGCGTTGGTTTTAGAAAAACCAACTTTGACCGTTACAACCAGAGTTGGGTAAGGGAGTTAGTTACGTGTGGGGAAGGTATTAGCACCCCACAACGCCCCTTTTGGGTTCCCTATGATGGACTAGTTCATAAAGTAAAGACTGAAAGAAACTATGTTTTTACCCTATTTATTTATCTACTGGCAGAATTTAAATACTTACGTGGTCCTAGTATCTGATACATACAAGGAAAGCAATAAAGAAAGCAATAAAAGAGAGAGAATAGAGAAGGAACATCCGAAGCGAGCTTTCTATTAACTCTTCAAAACTTGAGGACGCTTTTTGGCAATCCCCTCATCTCATTTTTTGGCCAGACGACTGTCTCAGGCTCAGAGAAAGATGAGACAACCGTCTGGCCAAACGAGACAATCGTGTCGACCTTCAGGGAAGGTGAGATGGTCGTCGGGCCAAATGAGATGGTTGTCTTGTGCTTCAGGGAAAGTGAGACGACCGTCTGGCCAAACGGGATGGCCGTCTCTAGCCTCCTATCATTTTTTCCTATTTTTCTTATTTTATGTACAGAAAGTCCTCATATTCTTACATGGAGCCTAGTGAACATGCCTAGGGGCCTAAAGAAGCTTTGTTCATCTTCGAACGGAGGTTTTTGTGTCTTTATTGAGAAGTCGAGTAAGATTTGGAGTCTATAGTATGATAGGAGGAGGTGCAATATATAAGTCAGGAGTGGAGGAGGTGCAATATGTATGTCAGGAGGGGAGGAGGTGTAATATATATGTCGGGAGGGGAGAAGGTGTAAAATATATGTCGGGAGGGGAGGAAAGGTGTATTATATATGTCGGGAGGGGAGAAGGTGTAATATATATGTTGGGAAGGGAGGAAGTGCAATATGTTGGGAAGGGGAGGAGGTGAAATATCTATGTCGGGAGGGTAGGAGGTGCAATATCTATGTCGGGAGGGGAGGAGGTGCAATATCTATGTCGGGAGGGGAGGAGGTGCAATATCTATATCGAGAGGGGAGGAGGTGCAATATCCATGTCGAAAGAGGAGGAGGTGCAATATTTATGTCAAAAGAGGAGGAGGTGCAATATCTATGTCGGGAGGGGAGGAGAGGTGCAATATCTATTTGGGGAGGGGAGGACTATGTGGGGAGGGGAGGAGGTGTAATATGTATGTCGGGAGGGGAAGAGAGGTAATATGTATGTCGGAAGGGGGTGTAAAATGTATGTCGAGAGGGGGTGTAATATGTATGTCGGGAGGGGAGGAAGTGCAATATCTATGTTGGGTGGGGAAGAGGTGTAATATGTCAGGAGGAGAGGAGGTGCAATATGTATGTCGAAAGGGGAGGAGGTGTAATATATATGTCGGGATGGGAGGAGGTGTAAAATATATGTCAGGAGGGGAGGAGAGGTGTATTATATATGTCGAGAGGGGAGGAGGTGAAATATATATGTCGAGAAAGGAGGAGGTGCAATATGTTGGGAGGGGAGGAGATGCAATATGTTGGGATGAGATGTAATATGTTGGGAGGAGGTGTAATATGTTAGGATGAGGTGCAATATGTTGGGAGGAGGAGGGGAGGAAGTGCAAGATCTATGTTGGGAGGAGGAGGGGAGGAGAAGGTGCAATATGTTGGGAGGGGAGGAGGTGTAATATTTATGTTGGGAGGAGGAGGGGAGGAGGTATAATATCTATGTTGGGAGGAGTTGTAATATGTTGGGAGGAGATGCAATATGTTGGGAGCAGGTGCAATATCTATATTAGGAGGAGGTGCAATATCTATGTTGGGAGGGGAGGAGAGGAGGTGCAATATCTTGTGAGGAGAGGAAGTGTAATATTTATGTTGGCAGGAAATGAGGTGTAACATCTATGTTGGGAGGAGGTGTAATATCTATGTTGGGAGAAGGTGTAATATGTTAGGAAGGATATGGAGGGGGTGTAATATCTTGGGAGGAGAGAATGTGTAATATCTATATTTATGTTGGGAGGAGGTGTAATATTGGTATAATATCTATATCTATGTTGGGAGAAGGTGTAATATTGGTATAATATCTATATCTATGTTGGGAGGTAGTGTAATATGTATATCTATCTTGGGAGGAGGTGTAATATCTATATCTATTTTGGAAGGAAGTGTAATATCTATTTCTCTTTTGGGAAGAGGTGTAATATCTATATCTACCTTGGGAGTGCTTCTACAATAAAATTATCCAAAAATCCAGTTTTATATGGAAGAAGTAAATATTTTGATGTAAGATTTCATTTTTTGAGAGATTTGTGTAATAATGGTGTTATTGAAGTGAATTATTGCAATAGCGGAAAATAATTGACAGACATAATGACAAAACCATTCAAAGTTGATAGTTTCCAGTATCTACCAAGTATTTGGGCATGCTTGAAGAACAAAAAATTAAACTATTATAGCATAAGTATTTGGGCATGCTTAAAGAACCAAAAATAAACCATTGCAAGTAGCATTGTTTCAGTTTAAATTTTGTACGTGGTTTTTAAATTTTGTAAATGATTCACAAGCTACCATAAGTTGTTAGTATGTGGGTGTTGTCTAGTGTTATATTTGTTAGTACTCGAGAATTATTTTTCATATTTTCTAGTTCATTAATTATAAAGCTAAATCTTTATTTTACGACAAAATAAAAGAATCAAGTTTTCTGAGATAACAGATATTTTAAGAGAATAATTTTATTTAATTTATATAAATAAATGTAAATCAAATTTTTAATTTATATAAATAAATGTAAACCAAATTTTAGTAAGCTAAAAGTTATGTTACTTGATCTCTAGTTTATATGTGTCAAATAATAAGTAAAAATTTGACATACGAAATAATCAAACTTGTTTTCTGAATGTGTAATTACGTTATCAGAAATATTAAAAAAAAAAGAATTGGGTGTTGATTGGTTAATAAACCATTAATAGTGAATTAAAGTTCAAGAGATTAAAATCATTTTGATGAACCCACTAACCATGTTTTGTAATTGCATTTATAATCCATTTCTAGATATTCATTTATAACATTGATTTAATTATCCTTTTTATCTAAAGGTTATTCAACATGAGTCAATGAATTATAAAATGATATTTATTAAATTAAGCATCTAGAAGATGATCCTATCTCCATCATACTATATTAATATGTAAATTCAATTTTATTTAAATCCATGGTTAAGTATTAAAATTTCATTAGCATAAGCCCACAAATATTAAAGAATATATCTATATCTTGTTAGAAAACAATTAAATAATCCCAATCCAATTTTTCTGACTGCATATGTGCCACATGGAAGACACAAAGGTCAAATGAGCTTGAAATTGTAAATTTATAAAGATTTTTATTAAAGTGAAATTAAGTGTAAACATTTAAAACTAAACTATAATGTCTATTTTTAACACAACAATAATTTAATTAACTGAAGTATAAACCTAACAAATGTATAAAAATTTGTTGGCCACCAGTGTTTTACCTAGTAAGTATTGAAAACAATTTGTTGGTTGTTTTCTTTATAAATATTTGAAAATCGGACATATGAAAATAAGGTAACAATTTTCTAATTAAAATAAATAGAAGTACAAGTCCGTTATGTTTTGATTCGATATTTTTGCTTTTTTAAATTTGGCTACTTTTTAAAACAAATTTTGCTTTTCAATATAGGATAGATGTTTTTTGGTGTGAGATTCACATTTTATATGATTTATACCATTATTTTTTTAGACAAATAATTAGTTAATATTATGCAGAGAATGGACCAAGTTAAATTAGGTTTGGCATGGTATCACTCAAACTTATCTTTAACGTTTAGCTTGACCTCTTTATAAAATAAAGTTGAAAACAGTATTTTAATTCCAAAAGGCAAAAGTAATATAATAAAGAAAAATAAGTCTATGATACACTTGCCAAAATTTTTAAAAAATATTGTATTATTATGTACTTAATGTCTTCTATTTTTTAATTCTTATGCATTATAAATTCGGAAATCACCTTCAAGGAAAAGACAATTTTTCTAAATATCACCCAACTAACACTTCATTGAACATTTACCTTCATTGCAACAAAATATGATATGAGTTAAGAAACATCACTAATTAATGCACCAAAACTTACACCTTTAATATCTTTTTTTTTTACTTTATTTGCAAACTAACAATTTAAGGTATAACAAAGTTTCAAAGTTTTAAAAAAATGATAAATTATCATTAAAATGGAATGATTTACGGATTTTAATAACTCTGAAAGATTAAAATCTCTCTTAAAAATAATACAAAAAAGGAAAAACATGATTGTTATAGAAAAATAATTATGTTAATACTCTCCCTTAAGTTGGATGGTGGATGTCACAAAGACCCAACTTGGATATAGAATTGTCAAAAGTTATATCATGAAAATGTTTAGTAAAAATATCTGTAAGTTGGTTGGAAGACGATATAGGAAAAAATGAATTAGGTCTTGTTGAATTTTCTCAGGAACCACATGTCAAATTGATTTCTATGTGTTTAGTGTGCTCAAAATACAAGATTATGAACTAAGTAAATAGTAGACTGATTGTCACAATAGACTACAATAGACTGATTATCACAATAGACTACAATAGGACGGAAGATCATGAAAAAGATAATATAACCATTGAATCTCACAAGTGAGGTTGGTTAATGCTCAATATTTTGCTTTAGGAAAATGTTCCTTGGATTTTCAGGAAATAAAGGAAGAACCAAGGAAAATACAAAATTCGATGATCGAGCGGTGACTGTCCAAACAACAGGCCTAGTCCGAATCAACAAAAGCAGAAAGACGAATGTTAGCAAAAGCAGAGAAAAATAACTCTTGGGCAGGTGAACTTTTTAAGTATCTAAGAACATCGATGACAACTTTATAATGAACATCAAGAGGTTGAGTCATGAGTCGACTAAGCTACTGGATAGAAAGACAATGTTAGGGTGCGTAAGTGTGAGATATAACAGTTTACCGACTAATCTGCGATAAGCAGCAATATCGGAATAAGGTTGTCCATGAGATGATTAGCCTGAAGTTTAGTAGAGGATCAAAAGGAGTGGTAGCAAGTTTGGAATCAAGTAAACTACTATTATCAAGAAGAAGTTTAAGAGTATATTTACGTTGGTTCATGTGAATGTCGGACTTGGACCGTGTAATTTATAATCCCAAAAAATATCGAAGAACACCAAGATCTTTAATCTTGAATTTAGTATCCAAGACACATTTGACGAAATTAGTTTTGGTCATATCATCACCAGCTAAGACAATGTCATCCACGTAAACTAATAAAGTTGTGAAAGAAGTGGAAGTAACCTTGACAAACAAAGATTGATCAGCGGAAGATTGTTTGTAATTGAGAGATAAAAGAGTGGTAGAAAGAATATTGTGTCATTGTCTACTGGCTTGCTTGAGTCCATACAACAACTTGTGAAGTTTGCAAACCTGAGAAGAACTCGGTGGAAGCAAACTAGGTGGAAGGACCATCTAGACTTCCTCATGAAACTCTCTATGAAGAAAGACATTATTCACATCAAGCTGGTGCAGAAATCACCCTTTAACTACTGCTATGGCTAGAAGAACACGAATAGTGGTGATCTTGATAATTGGGGAGAATGTGTCAAGATAATCAACTCCCTCTAACTGAGTGTAGCCTTTAGTGATATGAATCACAAGGGGGTAATTTAGGATCTTTAGGGTTAAAACCTTGTAACAAATTTAGGAATTTGAAAAAAGGTGGAAGGAAAGAATCACTCTTCCCAAGGGAGGCAACACACAAAGGATGTGACAGTCCTTTGATACAGCCAAGGGTTCTTGAATCACTCAAGAATTTAGGAGAATCACTCTCACTAAGATAAAAGAGATAAACTCTAATATAGAAGCGTTGTCATCAGAATTACAAAAGACTCAATAAAAGAAAATAAATACTAATAATAACTCATTAATCTAGGAATTGAAAACTATTTAATGGAAACAAATAAAGGCTAATAATGATCCATTAACCTAGGAATTGAAACTACTTAATGACTGATTGTATCTGAAATTGTGGCAACCAAAAGTCAATCAGCTATGCACCCCTTGGTCTCCCAAAGGCTGATGACTAAATTTTCAATTGGGCCCTTATGACAACTAAAAACAAAATCAAACTAAAGTCCATTAATTGATTAATCCAAAACACAATTTGGTCAACCAATAATACTTGTTGAAGAGCTTCCTTTGTTTCCCTTGCTCTAGCCCTTATCATAGGTCATGTTCACATCATTCTCTCCCTCTTGAAAAGGATTTGTCCTCAAATCGGATTCATCATCTACATTAAAAAGAGATAAGTCTGACAAATTAAATGTAGAACAAACATTATACTCACTTTTTATGGCTAAATAGCTTTGTTTCACTTCAAGTGTTTCACTCTTCTTTTGATCACTTTTTTTCCTCTCAAGTGTTTCACTAACGCTTTCTTTCTCTCTTTTTTCTTGAAGAAGTTTTTCTTTCATTTTCTTTTTATCCTCACATACTTCTTGTGGACTCAAAGGTTTTAGCACAATCTTCTTGTCTTGGTGTATGAAAGAAATCTTGTTGGTGAACCCGTTATGATTAACCCTTTTATCAAATTGCCATGGTCTCCCCAAAAGTAAATGACTGACTTCCATAGGAATAATATCACAAAGCACCTTATCATTGTATTTTCCAATGGAAATGTCCACTTCAACTTGTTGTCTCACTTGCACCTCTCCATCCTTACTAAGCCATTGGAGTTTATATGGCCTAGGATGTGGTTTGGTAGCTAAATTTAGCTTTGATACTAATTTAGCACTAGCCACATTGGTTCAACTACCTCCATCTATGATCATCATGCACACCTTGTC